CTAGTTCTGTTCTCATCCTTTTGACTGGTTTTTTTGTCACAGTTTTGATAGGTTTGTTGAGCCAACCCAGACCTTGGGATGGGCCAATTGATGAAACCAACATCACTGCTGCAGGTTTCCATCGTTCACAGCAGATGGCAATGCAACAGTCAGACTTCTTCACAGATTCAGCTGCGGCTGCAGCAGCAGCAAAAGTTCAAGTTTCAGCTACGACTGAAGCTAATTTATCGGCAGCAGCAGCCGGGAGCAGAGTGGATGACCATTATGAGACCATTCCACCTCCATTCATTGACTTTCTTGGGGTAGGAGCCACATGAAACAAGCTAGAAGCAATGAAGGAAAAAGGCTGGAGGTCAAGGGTTTCCAGCTTAGTGCCTCAGGATATCTGAGAGATCATTCAAGGTAAACAGAGAGAAGAAAAATATTTTGTTGCTGCTGTTTGGTGACAGTGTAGATAATCTGCATCATCAGTCTGTTGTAGTCGTATCCTGTTTACATCATCTTTTTCTTTGTTTCTTGTTTCCCAAACTTGAAACAAATAACAAATATTATCAATTTGCCATAATCAATTAAATGAAATTCCCTCTTCTCTTCTGCTTCAATTAAAATAATATACCATTTTTGGTTAGGTATTTAATAATGTATTTGTTCCAAAAGTACAGGTATTAGATGTCTGCTTAAATTGAAACACTTTTCAATTTGGTCCCAAATAAATGAGCATAAGGACAAGAAAAAACATGTATATTAGGTAAGGACAGGCTGATCAAACAAGCCAGTGGAAGTTGTCCACACAATGAATCACTATCGGGGTTCTGACTTCTACATGTTTATTGGTTCCATGGTTGGGGTTGGTTCTTGCAGCAACTCTAAACAGCCGAGCTAAGCTTACTATGTCCAACTCTAAGCTTGGCTCGTTTGGGTTTTGGTGGTAAGTGCCAATTTGAGCAAGAATTCTAATCTGAATCCAAGCTCCTTAGAATTTTTTATATTTGCTCCGAGTAATTCAAGGGATTCTTCCTAACATCCAGTTCGTCTAAAGTTTTGAGGAATTGAGTTAGAGGGTATTCGAAATAGAGGGTAGTTGTTTAAAAGTGATCTAACGAAGAAGAATATTTAAATTATAAATAATAGGAATGGTTAACTTTTTGATATTAACTGTCACATTTTGACCATTAATTGAAGCTGTCTTTAAGTTTTGCTCATGTAAAGCTCATTTCTGGCTGTGGGGGTTGGGATTTCGAACTATATTTTTTTTTTTTTGGAGGGAAGAACGTTCAGTCTCAACCATTATGAGTAGCTGATTTATATCTGGTTAGAGAAATTTAGGAGTTAATTTTTGGGTATTGTACGGTCTTAAGCCTAAATTTATTTGCAAGTAAAAGTATTTCAATTGATTAGTCCAATTGATGAAAGATTGAAAGTTTGATGGACATGCTGAAGACAAAAAAAACAAGCCTTTATCCAAGGCTTTAATGAGCTTCTTAACATTTTTCACTGAGATATTTTTTTTTAAACATGCTTTCACTGAGATATTTTAATCTCTTATACGGTGGGAATTATAATTCAACTCATTTAATGCATGGGGAAAAAATAAAAATAAAAATATTTTGAAATATTAGAAATTTTTGTGAAATTATTTAAATATTTTTAATGTATTTTCTTTATGTGTTGATTAATTAAAAATATTTAAATCTTTTTATCTATCATCCTAGTATATATCATTTAATTCCTTAGATCAATCAATAAGCAACAAACTCACAATTTAAGCATATCAACAAAAATATTACATGCTTTACCGAGGTAGTAGTCATAAAATTGGAAAAAGACTGTTGTGGAGTAGCACAGCAGTGTTAAGTAGAAAATTAGAAAATTTTCACATTGAAATAAAAGGAGGAATACGTGTAGTGTAAATATGATGATGGCTAGTTCATTTATTCTCAATTAATTTTAAATTAAAATTTCTTGTTTTGACTCACATGTTAAATTTTTACATACAATAGGGTATGTTGTTTTAGAGCACAACTAAGTTTCTAAAACAAATGAAATAAAAATAGTGTTTTGTAGTAACAAAACACAAACTATCAAATCAAGAAGGCTCCTCCAGTGTAGAGGCAGGCTTCTTTTACCTAATGGTTGGTGTTCTTCTACATTACGGCGATTAAAAGGGGATGTTTATGGCCACTGAATTTTATTAGTACCACACAAAAATGGGAGATATACTTAATTTGATTGTTAGAAATAAGTTACAATTATAGTCGTTAATTAATTATTTATAAAATAATTTATATATACTATCTAATGATTTGAAATTAGCTTATATGTTAGTATTTTAAAGTATTTTAATTAGTTATAAATTGATAAACGATTTTTTTAATTTGTATTCATGAGAAGTATAATTAATGTATTTTTATAAATAATTTGAATAAAAAATAAAAGTGTTAACTTTAAATTAATAAACATATTAATCAATTAAAATTATTTATATATTAATAATATTAAAATATATATTAATTTTTATATTTTTTATATAAATTAATTATAAAAAATATTTATTATATCTTTAATTTATACTTTGCTACATATTAATTAATTTGTTGATAAAATCTATCAAATAAAATAAATTTTTTATATAGATGCTTGGCCTTACAAAAATTTGTGTGGCTTAACTATTGTCCCAATGAAAACAATGATTCATTTTTTCGAAAATCAAAAATCATCCAATGAAAATAATGATGTGTTTAGGCGAAAGACAAAACAAGAAATTGGGAAGTCTAACGAAACATCCTTTTGGGATGGGCCAGCGAAGTTCAGGCATGAATTGTGCATCAGAAGTAGAGTGGGAGGAAACCCAACCCCCCATGCGCCCCCAATGCATTCACTACGGAAAGTGTTGGAAATCCGGCCATCAACAGCTGCAGAATCTTGTTGATTCATGCGACCCACATGGGTGAAAGCTGCTTTCGTAACTGTCTTAAATGCTCACCTCACCTGATCCACAAATTCCCCCAGAGTCAAGATATGTGTTTATTATTATTATTTTCCTGATACAAGATATGCTTTTATGCTCTGGTATAAGAAAACGTATAATCTGGTGCGTAATCCATTGTCATTATTTTAAATATTTATATTTTCTATTGTTTTTAGGAAATATTTGAAATTATCCGATTCGGGGTGTTTTGGGCTTTTAATTTTTCGATGTGTATGTTTTGGGCCTTAGATATACTTGGGTTTTGGGTATTTTTATTTTTTTGTTCGATGCAAAAATATTTAGATGATTTAATGTACAGAAAAATAAATATTAAGGCTTCTTGATATAGAAAATGTTGATGACATGCATTTTATGTTTTTATTTTAGCCTTGATTTTTTTTCATATTTGGATGTGTAGCAGGTAATTTTTCTTTTAAAGATTTTACATACTTTTTTTTTTTTTTTTGCAAAAATAGGCTTGACTGTATAACAATAGAGGTTTTAGGATTTAAATGTAAGTCTTTTGAAAGTTGTGGGACTATATTGTTGATGAAAAATCTCAATCAGGGACCTATAAATGAATAAATTCAAAGTTATAAAAAAATGCTCATAAAGTAGAAGCAGACGGATGAGTTGTGCCATTTTACCATTGAAGAAACTGCCCAAAGATCCTAAAAACCGGACATGAGTTGGCTGTCGATACCACCTGGCAGGTATTAACACCATGTGTTAAGAATTTGTTCGTATGAACACCATATGTTAAGAATTCGTTGATTTTGTTGAAATCCGAAGTGGAAGTGTTCACATGGACATTGTGTTGTCGACATCCTCAGCAATTTTAAGTAGTTTTATTGGATTTTAAATTGAATTTTTTATGATGAGTCTAGTGGTTTGATATTTAAATTATTTACAATAAATGTCAAGTTCAAATCAATATATCATAAAATTTAAAAATATTTTATTTTAATAACTAGTTGGGTAGACCGATTTACTTAATTTAATTGATCAAATTAAACTTTATGATTAAAACAGATTAGGCATCAGGTTAATTTTTAAAACATTGATCTTACCTTGATACAAACTTTAAACACCTAAAAAACCTTTCTCATATTTTGAAATCGCCATGTTCTACAAAATTTCAATTGCAACAATATCTTTAGTTGAGAAAGGTGTCCTAAGAATTGATGACCAAAATCTCACTTGCCAGGCACATTCTCTACAACAACTTCAAATGCTTGACCCTGACCCAATCTAAATCTATCTCCACACAAATACTTCGCATGAGATACCAAACAAACTTGCCCAAAAAACCAGCCATCACCCAAACTTTCTCCATTGAAACTAACCATTTGAAAGCAATATAGCTTCCCTACACCACACCCGCCAGAAACCACCACCTAAGAAGAGCTTCATACAACAAACCCTTATTATTGGGTACCACTAGATTGTCTTCAAGCCACATCTTTGTCACTACCCACTGCCAATTTGATCGAACCTCCTTGGAAGCCCAGCCAAATCCTTGCTTTATGCTGCCAATTCACACACCAATGTTGGCCTCTTCGTTTCACAATTCTGTCAGTACCAATACAACTTCAAGCAAGCCACTCAATCCTAGCCATAAAACCACCCTTCACCAAAGGCTAAGGGTTCCAAAGCCCCATCTACCCACTACTCCTTTAGATGCTGTGATCTCTCTCAACTCTCACCCTTCTCACCTTCACTAGAGCAATTAGATAAGGAATAAGATTGAAAATTAGGTAGATCTCACATGTGCAAATACAAAGGGCTAAACTCCCACTATTGGCATTAAAACCCTAGGGAAGACCCTTTTTTTTTTTTTTTGGAGATAATAATCGCCTGTATTTAACAAATTCAGTGTTTAAAAAGACTATTCAAAAGTTTGTGTAGTCCTAACAATTTATTGTGTGGTCATAACTATTCCCATATTCCACCTTTGATTTCTTTGAAAAATATGTGCATGGAGAATGAGACATGATATTTGGAAAAGGAAAATGATGGAGTGATAACTTTTTAATATAAGTTTATACGTTATTTAATAGTTAATTCTTTTCACTTTATTGAGATATATACATGATATTATATGTATTTATTAATTTAATAATATATAAAAATTATATAAAAAATTATTTGTATATATCATTACCCTTTAGAAAAATTGAACTTATAAGTTATAGCCTCAATAATTGGTCGGAAAGTAGAAATGTAATCTAGGAGGCTATTTTTTTCTTCTTTCCCAAAAAAGTTGTAAGACCTCAAATGCTTCTTCTTTTTTTTTTTTTTTGTATCGAGGATTACATAAAGACAATTAAAGAAAGATTTTACAAAATCAAGATTTGAATTAAATCTCAATTTAGGTATTTAGAATACCTAAATCTTAAAAGGATAAACAAAAAAAAGGAATACATAAATATCTGATTTTTGCTCAATCTATAGCACTTGGGGCTTTTATGTATGGACATAGATCACCACCATCATCAACTATATTAAATCTCTTGTTCTTCATCTTTACTCACACATTTATTTTTCACACCTTTATTTTATCTTTATAAATTTATTATGGTATCAACGCAG